CCCCCCCCCCGGTCTAAGTAAGGGGATAACCCCCCCAGCCACCCCAGGAATGACCCTGGGCCACATCCCACAACAGGGTTTTGAGCTTAATAAACGCTTAATAAATAGTTGGTAGCATAAGGAAGGAGAAAGGGGAAGAACATGTACAAGGAGGGAGCGGGGAAGGTGTTGGGAGGAGGTTGGAAGTAGGGACAGGAGGAAAGGGATGGAGCAAAGAGCACTGAAGCAGAAAGAAGCATCGGACTGATGTATTTAGCCAGAGAAAGCACAAAGAGGAAGGAAAAGGAGCAGGGAGGGAGGTGGGTGAAGCATCTCCTGGGTCAGGAAGCTCTAACCTGATTGTTGGTCGTACTGGGAATATTGCACCGGCTCAGGGTAGGTGATGCCTTCAAACCTGCTGTACTGCGCCTGGACCAGGAGCGCTGCTGGGGTGCAAGAGCCAAGGGGGGAGAAGCATCGCTTAGAGGGACACGGACACTCCCTGAATGGGGGTTCCCTGCTCTGCCTCCACCTCTCCCCCTTTGCATCCTCCCCCCAAATACTATCCTTAGGGACACGCTGCTTGGAGAAGGGGAGGGAGAGGAAGGGGGGATGCTCACTGACTGGGGAGGAGAGATTCCTGCGTTATCCAGGCACAGCTGCGGATGATCCCGATGTCTTGCAGCACCTGGGTACCAGGACCCTGCCCATCCTGCATCCAGCCGACCCCAGTGATGCCCCTGACACCCCTGGCATCCCCTGTATCCCTTATGGAGACCCTGGGAGCTAATCCAGCCATGGATCCAAGGGGAAAATGGGGTTCAGAGGCCAGTGTGCATGAGATGATGGGCTCATACAGGCAGAATGCTTCTCAAAGGGGGGATCGGGTCGCCCCCCATCCCCAGGGCATGGCAGGGACATGCAGTGGTGCCCCATGGTCCATCCAGATGCCGCATCCCTCCGCATCCTCCATCCCTCAGCAATGGGAATAATGCTGGGATGGGACTTGTCTTCTCTGCCCACTGCTCCCCATGCTGCCCCCTCCTTCCCAGGCTCCTTCGGCCTCAACTGCTTAATGTTTTCCATCTGCTCCCTCCCCTTTGTGTGGAGCTGGTTTCACCCAAAGTTTTCCTGGCTCCAGGCTCCTGGGTCTGTCACCTCCCTCCTTGTTTCCATCCCGCCTTTGCCAGCCCCTCTGGGGATCACAAATACCACTTCTCTGGCTGTTATCCCAGCCCCGAGGGGCCACTTTGGTGCCACTTCAGTGCCACTTCCATGTCCCCAAAGCAGGAGGGACATGCTTGGAGCCAGACCCCCAACACCCCTCAACCTAAAGCCTACAGAAGAGCCTAGGCTGAGGGTTGGGGTTAGTTTTGGGGTGTAACAGGCGATGAGGTGACACTTGCCCCATATGGGTGCAGCACCCATCGTTGGGTGGCTCCTGTCACTTCGCCCTGGGGACACTCACCTGGCAGACACAGCAAGAAGAGCCCGACCGCTCTCATCCTGACAGCAGCGATGGAGGAGCAGCGCGGGCTGGGATGCAGCCGGAGTCTGGATGGGACCGAGGGGCAAGCAAAGGGATTAGGGAATAGGGGACACAGATCCCAATCTCTCCAGTCTCCATCCCCAATAGCAGCGCCCACCCCAGCACGTTGCCCTCAGGGACTGGCTCAAAGAAACACCCAAATCCTAGAAAAATGAAGAAACTTCCCCATGGGAATTGCAAGGACCAAACCCTCAAACATCTCGCGGGCAGGATGGGGGGGATGAGAAGTGCTGGAATGTCTGAATCACCACCATGGGGGGGACGTCTGGCTTCCCCCCAGTCATTTGGGGCTCCATTCCCGGGATTTTCAGGCCTGCTCCTTGGGAAAGGGATTATTTGGGGGATCGCTGCTGCTGGGGGATGCTGTGTGTGCTTGGGAATGCCCTAAATCCAATGGGATGTGGAGATCTGGGGAGGGAAAAATCCGCTTTCAAGAGAAATCCTGCGCTGGGTTTGGCAGCTTTGGCCGTTTGCGGCTTCCCAGCACTTCCCAAGTGAGATTCCATGTCAAGGTCTGTCTGCCCTGGCGGGAACACGGGCCAAGGCCGGCTGTGCCAGAACCCCTGTCCCAGTGGTGGCTGGTGGGGATGCCAGCGGCTCTTCCCATCATCCCAAACCAGCTCCAGGAGGAAAACTGGGGGGAAGTTCTCCCACAAAACTCCTTTAAGATCCAACTGCACATGTTTGGCTGCTGGGAACGGAGCACATCAGCTTTCCCAGCGTGCTGGGATGCTGCAGGGATGCGGAATTCCTCCCGGCACCCCCAGGAGCAGGGAAACTGAGGCACGGGTGGAAATGACCAAAGCCATTGGTATCCGTTGGTATCCTGCCCCTGCTAAGGGGGAGCATCAGGAGGCTCCAGGATCCCACCCAGCTCCCTGCTGGATGCAGCACCCGGGATGGGAATGTGGCTCCATCGTCCCTGCTGGGCTTGAGAGCACACTGGGGAAGGTGGGGTCAGTGGGACCGTCACCAGAGCATGGCAGCCCCTAGTGACCATGTCCTCACCATCACCTTCTGGTGAGCACATCCTGCACCATCACCATCGTATAACACCTCTTAGGGACCACATCATGTGCCATCACCACAGTGTTGCACCTTCTGGCCACCCTGTCCTCAAGATCACCAAAGCATAATATCTTCTAGCAACCATGTCTTCACCATCACCAAAGCATAGCACCTTCTAGAGACCATATCCCTGCACCATCAGCAAGGTACAGAACCTTCATGTCCTCACCATCACCAAAGTGTGGCATCCTCTAGGGACATTGTCCTGCACCATCACCATTGTTCTGCACTTTCTAAGGACCACATCCTCACCACGACCAAAGCATAGCACCTATTAATGACCACATCTTGAGCCATCTCCATAGAGCTTCACCTTGTAGCCACCATGTCCTTAGGGTCACCAAAGCATAGCATCTTCTAGGGACATTGTCCTGCACCTTCTGGCCACCACATCCTCACCATCACCAAAGCACCTTCTAGCATAGAACCACAGAACCAGCCAGGCTGGAAAAGACCTTTAAGCTCATCAAGTCCAACCTTTACCCCAGGACTGACAAGGCCACCACGAACCCATGTCAAAATGCAACCACCACAATTGCATCTTTCGGGAACCACATCCTCACCCATCCCAGACAATTGATTCCAGACCCTTCCCAGCTTTGGGGAAGCCAAAGTTGATCCCTACCTGAGCTGGCATCTGATAACCAGGAGTCCAGTAACCAAGAGTTTGATGGGTCCCAAGCGAAGCACCCAGCAGGTCCCCATCACCAACCCATGGCTGCAGCTTGCTGGCATGCGGGTCCCACAAGCCCCATCTGCTTCCCACCACAAAGGAAGCCTCAGACCCACGTTTAACCCAGGCTAATTGTGTCCTGGGATAAAAGGGATTGTGCAGGGATGAGCAGGATCGTGGCACAGATCTGGGTTTGGTGGGTGCTTGGTAGGGGTCTGGAGGCTTTATCGAGCCTTAGCAGCTGCTGGCAAACCTTGGATCTGGGTCCTGGCCAGGACCAACAAAGCTTGGGCCTACCTTGAGGTGCCACAGAGGGGCTGGAGATGCCCATACCAGCCTTTGCTGGGTCTTCAGATACTGGGATCCTGCGGGATGCTGGCACCAACATCCTGCAGCCCCAAATCACCCTGACATGGTGCTCGTATCCCACCAGGGTAGCCTGGAGCAAGGCTGTGCGGTAGATGGATGCTCACGTCCGGAGGCATCCCACGTCATCCTCCCATCACTCCATTGATCACAGCATCCCAGCCTGGTTTGGGTTGAGGGGACCTTAAAGCTCATCCAGTTCCAACCCCTGCCATGGGCAGGGAC